TTGGAATCATATAATCATTCTTAACGTTATAAAACACGTATACAAAATTTTAATTATGAACAAAAAATACCGTATTGTAAATCATACTAGTAGATCATAGCATTCAACGATGTGGCTGAAATTTATTTTTTCAAAGATTTAAAAAAAAAAATATCAATGTATGATAGAACAACGACAAAATAATGAATGATTTATTTGGATTTGTCAGTTATTAAATAAAAGATTTCAAATTTTATCATACAGCCATGATAATTTAAAATTTAAATCGACACAATATGACACAGAATAATTTGAAACACGAATATTTGTAGGATGGTACTGAGATTTTTTTTTCTCCGAATAATTCTCTCTTTTTTCTTATCTTTGTTCTTTTTTTCTGAAAGTGATGTGTACGCACTTGCGTATTTGCGTATAGGCAGCTACGCGCCTGTTAGGTGATCATGATCATTATGCTGTCGCCGTTCAGTTTCATCACGTCAGACAACGGCATTCTTTCTCATTGTCTGCACCCTCTGCCTCAATACACCTTTTTAATGAGATTCCCTGGAGTTAGGTAAAGACCGAAAGTCGACATGTTTATATGACTTTACAATGTCAGGAACAGCTGATTTCAATGCATAATATTGTAAATGGATTTATACATAGGGAAAGATCCTCATTTGAATATATGCCAGCATATAATTTGCTTGTCGGAGTTCAATACCTACCGTACAAGAGCAAAATCGCTTTTTCGACGTGACTGACTTTAGACACCTGACCTACAAATCGACATTAAGTGTGCGTTTCTCCTTTCTCTGAGTCCTTTTCAGCATTTAGAACAGGTATTCTGGATGCATTTTATTTCACTGTACCCGTTAAAACATTTCCTTGGTCTATGCAAGTTTTGTCCCGGGGATGAAACTTTATAGAATATTTGGAACAACATCCCTCCACCTTCTGACGTCATTTTAACTACGTAGTTTGGGCATTCTGTGTAAATTTTACGATAACATTTCACAGAACTTACAGAATAAGGTAAATATTTTCAGATTTTATGGAACAATTGTGTAATACAATATGTGATTATTGGATGAAAAACTCTTATATTAAAAGAGTTTTTCTTTTTAAACTCAGGTAGAAGTACGTCGTTGCGCGGCCTGGTCTTACCATTGCTTACAAAAGCATTAACAATTTATCTAAAAAAAAAAAAAAACTTATGTTTTATAGTTTAGTCTATAGATAGAAAAAGATGACACTAAATTAAAGCATAAAAATTCATTGATGTACCTCATGTGATTTTAATTTTATGGCGCTAGTATGCGAACTTTTTGATAACCCATCGTAGATGAAAAAAATAAGAAAAACTTTCAAGATTATGTTTTACATTTTAAAATGTTTTTTCTCAGTTAATCTGAAAATCGCATCGGAAACAGCAACTGATTCCAACTAATTGTTCGATTATAAAAATCAACCGATGTTATATCTCTAGCACCTACTGCGACACAGGACCTTGATTTATTGTAGGACTGGTGTTGTATAGAAGCTTTTCCCTTAGCCATCAATCCCGTGCAGGAAGAACGACTATATAGTAGTCCCCTTCGAAATCTTTCCCCAAGGAAAGCTGACTATATAGTGGGATTTTCCCTCTTTTATGGCCATGATACCTCTTCAGAAAACCTACTACATGTATAAAGTAGATTATCCCCATCTCTCCAATCAGATTATGTTTATGGCAGACCATTCTTTTCAACTGAATATCCTATTTAACTATGCATATTCTTTTCTACATATTTTTTCTACATAACTTGTGGAGTCTATATGAGGCACAGGCTCTGACAGAAAGTTTGGTACCTTTCTGATTCTCCTTCGGGATATTAACATTTATCTTATGGTATCAAACAAACAAAACGTTTACTTGAATTAGAGATTGCAATAAGGTTTTAAGCAAATATATTTTTGCCAATTCTTTTTCGGACCCCAAGTGTTCCATTTCTAAATGTTCTATAAAAAAGTGCAAAACCTTTGATATTTTGATAACAAATACTTCGTTTTACAGCAAACTTACGAGACACAACTTTCAAATGCTAAAGGGGTGCAAATCTGAAATTTCTAACATTGTCTATGAAATTGAATGTACTCTATTAGGATTGATTAATACTTTGGAAACAAAGGTTTCACTCGATATGTCGGGGTTTATGTTTGAAATAAATAACTGGGGCCATATACATCTTTATAAACATTTCAATTTGCCTGACCACTCTATTTTATCAATGAAAGTTAGAATTTTGGGAAAAAATATGCCATCCAACTAATGACCCAACTTCAAGTACTCATTTCCGTAGACAACGAGAATACCGGATAAGGACATTAATATTAGGCACGACCTAACCGGTTGAACGACCACTAAAATAATAAGAACTCTTTTAAGCCCACAGTGTGCAAATAATAATGTGATGGGAATTTTTAACAATACACCTAGACGTAAGGGTAGTCATGGACATCAATCATACAATAGATCAAATATACATGATAACTGATTCACTTTTGCTTTACGCAAATAAACAATAAGATATGTCATCACATTCGCTAAAAAAATCCTGGTTCCCTTGAAATTTTCGAATGAAGTATTTACAGAAGCTAAAGCAACTCCAAACTTGGATTCTTCAACAGCAGAATTCAAGCTAGTGCAGGACCCGGCAATGTATCTTTTTCACCGATTAGACTTTAACTTTTAAGTGTTTAATACTTTTAACATTCCAATCAACTAAGGTGAGTTCGATCCATCCTACCTATGCTGGATTCCTAAACTTCATCCTAAAAAACAAAAACCTGCAAATACTCTATAAAGCCCCTATCCTTACTCCTTACAAAAATATTAACTGCTGCAAAGGAAAAACTTCAGACGTACAAAACGTCACGGTAGCCTAGTGGCCAGGCGTTCACTTCGTGATCGGAAGGCTCGGGTTCGATTCTCGTTCCTGGCGCCGCGTCAAACCTAAGACGTAAACATAGGTAGTGACTGTTCCTTCGCCAAGCGCCCGGCACTAAGAGTGAAAGTCATGGGTCATACGAGACCTTAAAAACCGCGGTTCCGTGTCACGCTAGGTGTTGGCACAACAAAGAACCCTCACTGCTCAATAGCCCTAAGTACCGAGTAAAGGTCTAAATGAAACCCTATATGGTGACGACTCTATATTAGTGAAAAATTCTCGAATGAGACGTAAAACAACATACAATCAATCAATCGGACGTACTGTGCTACAGCATATTCTGAAAGTGGTGTAACATATGGATTCTCAAAAAGTCCAAAGAACTTTTAGAAAATTTAAAATTACCGAATTTTTCAAAAGTCAATCACATCAAACGTATGACTTTTCTACACTTTATACAACCATTCTTCATGGTAAATTAAAAACTAGGATTTTTGATATCATAGACAACTGCTTCAATGAAAATGAAAGCGGAAATTTTAGTATCTTTTGATTGGTCATCAACTAAAATACTTTGTAAAAATCATTCAGATTCTATTCACAAGTACTCTGCAAATGATATTAATGGATATTGGATTTCCTCATTGACACATTTATGTAGTCTTCCAACAAATTCTTGGAATTCCCATGGACACTAATCGTGCTCCTGTTTCTATATTCCTCTGAAGAGGAATTTATTGAAAGTAAACGTATAAAAAACAAAAACTCTAGTATTTTCAAAGGGCCCTGTGTTAAAAACAAAATTTTATTATACATGTGTAACAAATTAGTTATAGAAATTTTTTAAAAAAATTAAATAAATATTTATGCGTTATATTTTCTCTCGCTCATGTTCTTTTCGTAAAAAACAAAAAAAATTTTCCCGAACAAGCACAAAAAGCCATTTACGGCATCATAGGAAAATCTAGGCAGATCCAGCTGGATCTTTTTGATAAAGTTGTAGTACCAGTTTTACTGTATGAGTCTGAAGTATGGGGATATATGAAAATCTTGGTGTCCTTGAACGTTTACATTTGAAATTCTTAAAATATGTATTCGATCTGAAAAGTTCCACACCACCATATATAGTGTATATATAGAAACTTGTTAATAGCAAATTGGCATTTTCGTTGCTACGCAACAGTAAAGCTTATGGAAGAGAAGAACGTGAGAGGTTAAAAAGATATGCGGATGAACTGAAAATGAGTGTCGAAAAGTAACGTCATAACGAAATAGGCAATACTCTCGCCGCGCGGCGATGGACAAAACTAAAAGTTGTGTTTTTAAGAAATGAATTTAATTTTTGAAGATTCATGAGGACATGAACTACGACGCTTCACGCCGGCATATTTCATGAAGCGCGTTACCGCTTCATGATAAATATGACGGCGTGAAGCGTTGTAGTTCATGTACCTCATGAATTTAATTATTTAAATAAATTAAATTCATTTCTTACATTTACATTATTTTTCTGATGAGTTTCCACAAGTTACGCCATTCAACTGTCATTTTTGAAGCAAAACAGTTTGCACTATAGTTTTGACGTCAAGTACGGTATTATGACGTAACAATGGAGATATTCATGCTCATCTCATGGTAGTTCATGTGAAAATGAACAATCTTCTAATTTGCAAAGAATCTTAAGGAAGAATATTTGGAAATGTAAATATATTTTAATATTTTAAAAAGTCTCTTATGTAATCAAATGAAATTTAAAGAAAAAAAGCAAAATAGATAGGGGTATAAGTATGTCAAATTTTGTTGAAAACACTTAATTGTAAAGATTTTATAACAGTTGTGACATTACTTGATCTGGATCAAACCTCTTAATTGCTTCATTTAATAATTGACGTTTTATTTTGTTTCTGAAAAAGGACTTGCAACAGAGTCATATAAATTTTACATATGGTCACTATCATTTTTTTTTTCATCTTCGTTGCTACGCAACAGTGCTTACAGTGTAACAGCGGAAGTCCTTCTAAAATTGTTTTAATATATTAGCAGGAAATAGAATTAAAGTGAAAGTGGGCAAAATAATCCAGCTAAAAAAAAGTCAAATTCAAGGCTAACAACAGATTTTCTGATTGGTGATATCTATGGAATCGATATGGAGTTATCTTGGGATCGGGAAAGAATTTCTCTCATTCTCTCGTGATAGTTTGTTCAGATATCTTGGTTATGAGAAGAAAGGAGGCGTTTTCCGTAGAATTGGCTTATTTTCCAGTGTCGTGGCTGTATCAATGCTTGTGTATGGAGCTCGTCATGGTATTTAATTAAATCAAACAAAAAAAAGATAACAACATAACAAAGATTTCCTTTTTTTAATTCACATACCGATAATTGGTAGATTAAGCAATTGTATCATTCATTAATTGACCTTTTTTTATTTTGATAGAACATGGAGGACATAAGTACTTAAAACAACGTAAGGTAAAGTGTACATTCAGTTTGATATACCACACGCAATGTTGATAATCATGTGAGTTTTGTTATCATGGAACGGCACTTATAACAGCAAATGTGCTTGTGAAATTCAATTCCGGTGAAAAATAGGAAGTAACATTAATCAAGTGATAGTAAGCCTAAAACAAGAGGCCCAGGGGCCACATCGCTCACCTGAGCACTGTGGTTGGGAAAAAAGAAAAAATCAGTTTAGTATTGAAAAGCTTAAATGCATAAGTGGTCCCAACCTACCCTAAAAGGAAGTGGGGGGTATGATTTGAACAACATTAAATCTACACTTACTAAGGATGTTTACATAATTTTTTGACTTACTGTGATATTTTTCTCTACAAGTTTGAACTTTCATTGTGGCCCCACCCTACCCCTGGAGGTCATGATTTGAACAAACTTGAATCTACACTATCTGAGGATGCTTCCATATAAATATTACAAACAGTGGCTTTGCTGTTCTTGAGAAGTTTTTTTTAAAGATTTTTCCTATATATTCCTATGTAAAACTTTGATCGTTCATTGTGGCCCCACCCTACCCCTGGGGGTCATGATTTGAACAAACTTGAATTAAAACCACCCGAGATGCTTCCACATAAATATGACCAATCATAGCTTTGCTTTTCTTGAGAAGAAGATTTTGAAGATTTTTCCTATATACACCTATGTTAAACTTTGATCGTCCATTGTGGCCCCACCCTACCCCTGGGGGTCATGATTTGAACAAACTTGAATATACACAACCTGAGGATGCTTTCACATAAATATGACTAATCATAGCTTTCCTGTTCTTGAGAAGAAGATTTTTGAAGATTTTTCCTATATTTTCCTATGTAAAACTTTGATCGTCCATTGTGGCCCCACCCTACCCCCCGGGGGAATGATTTGAACAAAATTGAACCCACAAAACCTGAGGATGCTTCCACATAAATATTATCAATCATTGCTTTGCTGTTCTTGAGAAAAAGATTTTTGAAGATTTTTTCAATATATTCACCTATGTTATACTTTGATCGTCCATTGTGGCCCTACACTACCCCTGGGGATCATAATTTGAACAAACTTGAATCTACACAACCTGAGGATGCTTCCATATAAATATGACCAATCATAGCTTTCCTGTTCTTGAGAAGAAGATTTTTGAAGATTTTTCCTATATATTTTTATGTAAAACTTTGATCGTCCATTGTGGCCCCACCCTACCCCCGGGGGTCATGATTTGAACAATCTTGAATCTACATTACCTGACAATAATTCCACATGAGTTTCATCTTTCCTGACCCATTGGTTCTTGAGGAAAAGATTTTTCAATAATGCCATTAATTTTTTGTTATTTCGTAATTATCTCCCCTTGGAGGAGGGCATGGCCCTTCATTTGAATAAACTTGAATCCCCTTTACCCAAGAATACTTTGTGCCAAGTTTGATTGAAATTGGCCTAGTAGTTCTGGAGAAAAAAATGAAAATGTGAAAAGTTTAGGAAAACGCCAACGACGACGACAGACAACGGACAAATTTTGATCAGAAAAGCTCACTTGAGCCTTCGGCTCCATAGTTATCCATAGTGAAACAATTTAGAAATCAAAGTACTGAAAGTACTGATACGAGTTGATGGTTGTCCAAGCTTAGCTAATAATTGCTTTAGTGATGAAAAAATGGAATGTCTATTAAGAAACTTAAATTTAAATTTCCATTTGATTTCTGATGTCAATTTCATGACATAATGCAGTGTATTTTAAAATCTAATTAACAAATAATACTTTGTGATATTATAAGAAATCAATATCTCTTTCTTTTTAAAGTATAACTATACAAATTATATATTTATTGAGCATTGCTGCCTTATTTTAACATTCAAATGAAATGCACATGCACAACTATCATGAAGTACATGTATATTTAAACCACAATTTTTGACATTCCTTAGTGCGTGTGGAGCAAGTATTCCTTTTACAATTTTTTAAAGATCAATTACTAGTATTATACCTCGTATAAAAATGTCAGTTTTTAAAACATTATTCTGGTCTTCCAGTTGGAAGTGTAGTAAGCCAATAAACAGTACAACAGAATGAATTTTTAGAAAGTCAATGTCAAGTTTTTTGTCCATAAATATTTCCTTATTGAAACATGCAAATATAGAAAGCAAAAACAAAACTGTAAGTTTATTTCCAGAAGTTTTATACAGCATCTAGGTTTCAGATTTACAAATAAATGCTACACTAATAAAAGTAATGATACAATCATGAAATACAGGGTCAAACTAATATAATCAACACAACTGTTGCCGATCTTAAAGTCCTGTGACATTGACACATTATCAACTTCGTAGATTTAAATTCAGTTTAAGTTATAAATAGCAAATTCTAAAAGTCATTGTTCACTTCACATTTGAAAATCAAGGGATGGTTGTCCTCCTACATACAAAACACTGCGCAGCACTGTTAAGGCGTACTTCGAAGAAATCAACACAATATAAACTTGCATAAATACCTACCTTTTTAAAATAAATTTTAATTTTGTAAAGGTACTACATTATCTTATGACTTTAAAATTCTTTCAAATAACATTGTATACCCTCCTCTGTACTGAATTTGGTTTGGTCACGTTATTTGACAGTCACGTGATAAATGCATGTAAAGTGTACTGTGTGTAAGTCACAAACAAATTTCAATATCGCAAGGGCATACCCCAGTTAAAATTAAAAATTAAAGTAATAGATTGTTTCTACATAACTTGTAGTTTATGGAAAGTGCTGCTGCTTTAAATAGAATTCGCATTTTATTAGTTTAAATTTCAAGTTATCTTGCTAATGTCGAAATATGCGTGACCTTTACCAAGCATTTTATGTATTTATTAAGTTATGCTATCGATTTCAGGAAGCAGCAGTACTTTTCAAGTTAAGGAATATGTCCGTTATGTGTATTCAAAAAATGGTCAAGATCTATTAAGTGTATGCCCTTGCGAAAAGGCGATTTAATGAGGCACCTCGGCGTGAAACATGCACACCCTGTAGACAAAAACACTTAGAATTAATTACGGAATAGAATGTAATCTTTGTGGACTTGTTTATGTTGGTGAAACCAAGGGATCACTCAATAAAAGAACATCAGGTCATAGATTTCAGATAAATAATGGGGGTCAGCAACTTTTATACAAACATTTTAATTTACCTGATCATTCAATTTTGTCAATGAAAGTTAGAATTCTGGAAAAGATTTACCACCACACAAACAGTCCATCACTGAGTACACCTTTCCGTAGACAACGAGAAGAATTTTGGATAAGAAAGCTAGGGACAGACTTATCCTATGGATGTAATGATAATGTCGATAGTGTTTGAAATCTTTCCAGTCCACAGTGTAACAATTTAAATGTGATGGGACTTTTTAACCATACACAGAGACGTAAGCGTAGTCATGGGCATCGGTCTTACAATAAACCTTTAATACACGATGTCTCTTTTGATTCATTACTACCTTACGTAAATCAACAGTTAGGGTTACATCATATTCGCATCAAACTTTACTCTGTCCCTTTGAAACTTTTACATAGTCTTCTTGAAAAGGTCAAGGAAAGTCCATTTTTTGATTCCTCGACACCAGAATATAGGCTCGGATCTGTAGTTATGGATATTGCCAATCACAGGCTTTTTAAAACCCCGCGTTTTACTGAAGAAAATGCAGCTAAAACAGTCCTTTTTTTCCTTAAACTTCAATATGCCAACAAAGGAATTGACGCGGTTAATATAAGTAATATCCTTAATCACAAAAGGGTCCAGTCTTGTATTCCACCATATTTCAAGTTAAAGACTACACCTTGTATTTCCTACAAATATACATCGACTATTGCTTCCAAACTTTTTAATTACAAGAAAACGAATATCTGAAGCATAATCCTCCATCGTGTTCATGTTCTTCTTCACCCTATAACTAGAGTCCTGCTGGACACGTTATTACTGGTAACGCAAATATAGTTAATTATGAGGACCTTAGATCACTAATTTTAAAAGGTCCTAAATATAGGGAACCCCGATCCTTCAACTGGAGTCAGAATTTTATAAATATTATGGATTCTGTAGAGAATTACGCCAGGCGATCGGCCAGACATGAAAAAGAAGACCTTGACACTTTGTCAGAATGGATTAAATGTATCAGGTGTATGTTAAAATCGCGCATTAAAAGATTGAGGGGCAATATGAGAACCATATATCCTTCTGTATTCAATAATCCAGAAGTTAAAAAAAAAAAATTAGATAGATTACATGATCAGTATGTACTTGTCCCTGCTGACAAAGCAGGTAACAACATTGTCTTTGTTTGTAAGGCTCATTATATTAAATGTATTTTAGAGGAACTTGGATTTAATTCTACAAGTGATAATCCAACTTATACTCATAGTTCTCTTTCTAAGGAAGAAATTCTTCAAAATCAATGTCAGTTTTGAATATTTTTAATATTCCAAAAACCAAAATGAATTTAAATTACCATATCTCTATTGGATTCCGAAACTTCATAAAAATCCTTACAAATAAAGATACATAGCGGGTTCCAGTAAATGTTCAACCAAGCCTCTTTCCTTACTCCTCACTAAGATATTAACAGTAGTGAAGGAGAAACTTCAAGAGTACTGTGCAACAATATATTCAAGAAGTGGTGTAAATCAGATGTGGATACTTAAAAATTCTAAGGAACTTTTGGAAAATTCGAAATCACAATAATTTACCAAAATCAACAGCTTAAAAACTTACGACTTTTCAACTTTATACACAACCATTCTCCACGATGAATTACTGACTGACGTTTTTCATACTAATTGTTAGGCCATTATTCGTTTTTTCCCGAACATGACAAAAAGCACACGGTGGATGTGACCGGTCGGCAGGGGATGCTCACTCCTCTATAGCACCTGATCCCACATCTGATGATTTGGAGGTCCGTGTTTGCTCTGCTCCTATTTTGTAATGTTTAATGGCCTTTTGAGCTTAAATACTGTTCGTTATCTCCATATATTTCATTTACATTAATGATTTTTTTTAACGTTCCAGAATCTTATGCCTTGTGATTAATGTACATTATATACATGTGTATACAGCTTATCGAATTTTTTCAAAATTTATTGATCATTGATATAGATTCAAAGAGTGCACAAGTTTCAGTTGTTCAATACATGTATGTTTTTTTAATTATTGCAGAAATGTCATTTTTTTTCATTGATTACTAATAAATAAATAAATAAATATATATATATATATATATATATATATATATATATATATATATATATATATATATATATATATATATATATATATATATATATATATATATATATATATATATATATATATATATATATATATATATATATATATATATATATATATATATATATATATATATATATTAAACAAATATAAAAAGAAAACACAAGAATCCTCCGTAAAGCTTTACGGAGGATTCTTGTGTTTTCTTTTTATATTTGTTTAATATTGTAATCCGATTACTGAGACTTTATTTCAATTTTGGATATATATATATATATATATATATATATATATATATATATATATATATATATATATATATATATATATATATATATATATATATATATATATATATATATATATATATATATATATACATGTATCTATCTATCTATCTATCTATCTATCTATCTATATATATATATATATATATATATATATATATATATATATATATATATATATATATATATATATATATATATATAATATAAAATAATATAAATCCACACACTTAGTCGTATATCAAAAAAAAAATCACAACACCGAAATAAACTCTACCGGTTTCATTTTCAATCTTCAGGAGTTTTGTGACGTCATAATAGATCAAGGTAGCGTAAAGTTGCCGTATTTACGCTACCTTGATCTATTATGACGTCACAGTGAACTTTTGCTTTTGGACGTTACCAGGCAACCTACCTGACATTTGTATAACTGCCTGAAGAGCCTAACATGGCGAAAGCGCTTGCAGATAATATTTCGTGATTTTTTTGGATTTATATATATATATATATATATATATATATATATATATATATATATATATATATATTTATATATATATATATATATATATATATGATTGATTGATTGATTGATTGTTGTTGTTTTACGCCGAGTCGGCAATATTTCAGCCATATTTTGGAGGTAGGAATTATAATACTGTATGAACGGTTTTGAAAGTTTTTGGGTTTCTCTGGCAGCCCCCAGTGAGCCTACTCTTTTCCGAAAATCAGAGAAACAATCTTTAGCTTGCCAAGGAGGTTGTTATCCTTGACACGTTTTACGTCCCATCCGACGAACTTCGAATTTAAAAAATAAAAACAGTGAAATTGAAAATTTCAAAAATGCTAATTAAAATATATATATTTAAATCTTATTGTAAAAATCAGTTTCTTGCAAGTATTGCAAAATTGCACTAGGACTTACATTTGCAAAAAGATCATGCATCGTTTGCACACCATTAAAAAACTTATTTCGAACAGGTGTAAAATCAGAACTTTCTAAAAGTATATGATTCATAGTTATTGCACAGTCACAAGAGATACATTCAGGTTGTTATTCTCCGTTCAGTAGATATGAATGTGTAAAGTTGAATGTCCAATTCTTATTCTTGTAATAATGACTTCGTCTTGACGTTTCAGGCCAAAGTCAGGTGATTGATTAACTTTGTTTTTCATGGTATACAGTTTATTATTATCACAAAAGTCCCAAAATATTTGCCAAAGAGAATTTACGTAAAGTTTCAACAAGTACTTAAGATCAGTGTAAGGAATTAAGGAATTTTAAAGGTACAATTTCATATTGAAGAGTAGTTTTTGCAGAACTATATATATATATATATATATATATATATATATATATATATATATATATATATATATATATATATATATATATATATATATATATATATATATATATATATATATATATATATATTAGCAATCATATATATTAGTATATATATTAGCAATCAATGAAAAAATATTTATTACATTTTTACATTACTATTAAAGTTATTTTGAAAATATGTGTATGTTTACTTTTAAACACAAACACACAAACAAAAACTTTTAAACACATGTTGTTTTTTTAAAAAAAACTTTAATTAGTTTTGTTACTCACTGTTTTCTTTTTGTATCCGTAGAATTACAAGATTTACATGGTTGGGGGCGGTGCACATGTTGTGCTTTCTGTAGCACTCTTGTTCTCAGACAGGTCTATAAATCCAAATTTGGTAAGTACATTTAAGAGATGAATTTAACTTTTGAGAATTCATGAGGGCATGAACTGCGACGCTTCACGCCGGCATATTTCACGAAGCGCGTTAGCGCTTCATGATAAATATGTAGACGTGAAGCGTTTTAGTTCATGTACCTCATGAATTTTGAAACATTAAATTCATATCTTATATCTAAATTATTTTTTGATGACTTGCCGCATATTTTTGTCATTCAACGATCATTTTTGAAAAAAAAGTTTGCATTATTTTTTTTTATTTCAATCACATCACAATGGAAATATTCTTACTCATCCCACGGTAGTTCATGGGAACATAAACGTTTTCTAATTTGCAAAGAGTCTTAAGGAAAAATATTTGGAAATGTAAATATTTGTATACTTCTATCTGCGTGATTGATTGGGCGGAGTAATCTTTAAAATGCCGTTATTAACACAATTCTACTTTATTTGGTTATTACAGGTCATTGTAGAAATGTGAACTTCGTCCAGGGGCTCTATTGTACAAAATACAAAAAAATATTAAACGCAGAAGGTTCTTTAAAACTAGATGTGTTAGTGTGACATGAATGCCCCAGCTTTTTTTTCAATTTTAAATTTCAAGGATGTGAAAATTACTGATAAAGCGTGACAATGAAACAAAAAAGAAGAATATAATATACTGCTTTTATGTTCTTTTATCAGTTGTTGATACTACGAACAATAATTTTAAGCTGCGTAAAACTGGACTAAAACAAAACAAACAAAAAAACAACTAAATGTAGTATAAGTCAGAAAAAAGTCAATGTGAATAATTAGAAACTTTTTGGGTCTAAAGGCAATAACATTCATAAAAATGGTTTAATTAACATTAAACTCGAAATTGATTTGTTATGACATCATTATAAAGAGACATTCGCCAAATTAATTATCTGCAAGGACAGCATAAAGGTCTAGAATATAGTGAATATTAGAATTTTTCAAAGTCTAAGGGCAATATTTTTTCGTGAGAATGGGTCACACAACATGAAACTCGAACTTGATCTGAAAGTCATTAATATAAAGACACATACTAAAAGAAATCTTCCAATAACATAAGTCAGTTTTGTTGATATAGAGTTCTTCTATAAAATAATATAATTGTGGAAATAATACAAAAAATTACACAGACCTCTTTTTTGCCTTGGAATAAAGACTAATCATGGATGTTTTGAAACCAAAAGGTCTGAAATGTAAGTGTAAGTCTGTTTCTTTTTACCAAATGTCATGGTTTGAGTTAATAAATGAGTTTTGATCAGGAACAAGGTGGTCTTTCAGTTGAGCATACATGTACCTTTTCTGATCAGTCAGTACTCGTCCTGGTGTAGAACCCCGAGCAATAAGCTCTCCGACATCAAAAACAGCGGGTGATATGTCAATACTATCTGAAGAGCTCTGTTTTATTGAATACTGTCATTTTTCTATTTCTAATGGTCTGTTTGTTGATGTCTATTCTGTCATTCCACTGGCACACGTAGCTGACACTCTTCATTTGTGAGACTTTACATGATCCGATTTTTGATATTTTATCAATCTCATTCTGAAAGTGTCTCTGCAGGGTCACTGATACTGCAAAACATGCGATGAGGCTTAGAATGATCCGAAAACAACAGAGCAGAATGGTTTGGTTCATAGGAAAATCCTGTCCGATTATCAAGTTTCATCTCTTGACCATAATTTTCCCAAACTAGTATCTGGGTTATTCTTAAAAACTGGTGATAGGAAAGGAATGATTTTTCTGTGAAATAGTGGGCATATACCATGACTTATTTTCGAATAGGCTGACTCATTTGGAATTTGGAGATCCTTGCTCATGGCAAGAATGTGAATAATAGAAGTCGAAAGAAAGTCATTGCAGGTCAATTCTGTCTCTTTATAAACAGCAGAACAACGATCTCTACTTCCCTCAAAATAAGCTGAAGATCCTTCGGTCAGCAAGAGCGAAAAAGGCTATCTTCATGATCAGTGAACATGACACCTTATTGAAGGGTTTGTTACAAAACCGGGTGCTGAGCATACTTTTCTGTCTCTTTGTTTAACTCAGCGCCGTCAAGGCCCTCATGATATTCAAATGAAACAGAAATAAAATATTTTTGTCAATGTCGAATTCAGAAACCTTTTCCGCAAAATTTATTTTTTTTTTAATATCTATTCATAAAAGTAGTCATGATCAAACTATATAAAAGATAATTTGAATTATCATCACCTGATAGAAATGTTGCACAATCGTATAAACAATTTCCATCGCCTGGGATTTAAATAACTCTGTAGTCTTCTTCAATGTCGTCTGGTATTAGAGCGCTCCCAAATTCGTCGATATCTAGTTTCTCTTCATCTGGACCTCAACAAAGCGCACGTTTGTTAAGTTCCTGGGTAGGTTTTCTGTAAAAATCACAGAGAGTCTCGTAATTAGAATCAGATGTCAATTTCCATCTCGTTTCACGTAAATAATCCATTATTCAAAACATCACGTTTTACTTTATGATGTTTACCTAAAACTGGAAAAGCAAAAACTAAAAAGTAAAACTAGACAAAAGCAAAAAGCAGAAAATAAAACAAAAAATTTCAGACATTCTGTGTGAGGGTGTGTGTGTGTGTGTGAGGGTGTGTGTGTGTGTGTGTCTTTCTCTCTCTCAGCGAATCCAAAGGAGTTGCAACCCCCGTAATCCACTCTAACCCCCACTGGAAATACATATAGTTGAAGCCTTTGGCTTTTCATAATTTACAGACTCTCGAACCATCCATCGTCAATTCAGTTAATGACTGTTGGTTTTGCATCGATGATCGCTCGTTTTGCAACGGAGTCTGTTGATGTTATTTTAAAGCTGATTAGTTTGTATTTTAAATTACATGGTTGTTTAGCATTTACGTCTTTTCTATCCTTTCCGCTGCCCATAAGTAACCTATCGAATTGTGTTATGTAACAATCATTGTCAATGTATTTATAATTAAGGTTTAGGTCTGCTTTTGATGACAAAGCACAATGCAGAATGAACTTTTGTCACATCTGGTCTAAAAAAAAATATCAATGTCTATGATATTTCAAGTATGATTCATGGTTTTCTAATTTTTTTCTTGTCTGTTAAAAATGAAATTCAGTTAAAAAAAAAAACCAAAAACAATAACAAAGGCCTTACTAGTCAACCAAATTACGACCTAATGATAGATTATATTTGCTTACAAAATCATTATAACGACCATAGAGTTTTCGAACATTAAACAGGATTGTTGAAATCAGTCAGTTGGAACGTCGTGCAGTTAACCGATTAACAAATTTGCATTCGGTTGCCATCCCTGACATATATGCTCGAGTTCTACAGTACAGTTGGTCTTACATATAAAAGATGAAAACAAAACTAAATACCTAAAATTGGGAATAAGTTTTGTTGTTTGCTTGTTTATAGTCCCTTCGAGAATTTTTCACTCATATTGAGACGCCAATACTTGCCAGTGGAGGGCTGCAAATTTAGACAAGTACTCGCCACCTACGGCCTTTGAGCACTGATCGACCTCAAGGTCAAGATCTAGTAAATGACTTTAGACTAACTTTTTGGTCATTCGGCAAACCTCGGCTGATTCCGTCACCTTCATCAAACCTCGGCTGTACGAGGAAACTTGATATGCGTCTCCGCTTAACATTTGTGATAAGGCTGCCTGTTTACCGCTTAGGGAAAACGTAACGCTTTGAAAACGATAATAAACATGCATCTAATATACGTTAAAAATTTTCAAAAGCATTTAGGTAACGCTAAGAATAACACTTACCAAGAAACAAGCACTTAGTATCTTTTCATAATCACATGTTTGTTAACGGGTCGAATTCAGCACACTGTGCACGTGTAAATGTAGGGCGCAGCCATATTGCTTATAAAGTAGCTCCGGTTCAATGGAGGTTTACATGATACAGCCGAGGTTTGATGAAGTACGAATCGGCCGAGGTGTGCCGAGTGACTTTTTGGTGCTACATCCATTATGACGTCATAATCATTTTCAACTTTCTTTTTCCCGTACTTTACGGCTCTAATAAAATTATGTAGAAAATAAAGTATTTTCATGGATTCCAATTTGAAATCATGAGAAAAGTAATCCCGATACCTATATTCAATTTAATATTATTTTAAAGAAGAGACCAAGAACATACAAATTCACGTTTTCTGAGAGACTGTAGGCAATCTGAATACATTTCATTGGTCTGATTTGGGAAAAACTCCCGTATTCATGGCAGGTTTTGTTATTTTTTCATTAAAAATGACAGTTTAAAATATGATTTTTCGTCTTATTTACCTACAAATTATGCCCCGAAACAACTTCTTTGACCAAGCTAAAATTATAAAGCATCATTAAAGGAATTAATTTCTTAAATCTGAGAAATCTGTAGGCACCTTTCATTTACTAGATCTTGACCTTAATCGTGCCAGCACCTTCTGCGACACGGGGCCTCCGTTTATACGGTCTCATCCGAAGAACCGGTCTCCACGTCACACAGTGGATTAAAACGTAAGGATCAACTCCTTACTCCGCAACTCTAGAGCATACATCTAACCACTGCGCCACGCTGGCGACAATTTTGAACAATAAAAAGCCATTCATTAACAATAAAACAAACGTTTCAATAATGAATCAGCTTGAAATCGTACGGAAGCCGGTAGGTGCCAGGTAGATCTAGAAAATTATTTAATCTGGCGGCCGCCAGATAATTATCTGGCGGCCGCCAGAAACTTAGCTGGCGGCCGCCAGATAAAATATTTTTTCTACCTGGCACCAACCGGCTTCCGTAAAATCGTTCTGTTTACACATAAATCTTGAAACAAACATGAAAATTACATTGTCGGCAAGTACTAGTGTTAAGGGACTTTACTCTGATATCGGTGTGTATGTTTGGTGCGCCATTAGCTTAACAATTAAGCACACTTTTTGTAATAAAATTTAATAAACATAATTTTATTTTATTTTGAGATCAGATATCTTTAAAGAACATTTTTTTCTTAGGATATTAAGAAAATATAAACACAATATTCTGAAACATTTACATTTGTAAAATGTTTCATTTAACAAATTCAAGAAAACGGATTCTTTCTTTTCATAATTAAGAAAGAAAATACTTGAAATAGCCCCCTTCTTTTAGTACCTCCTTAACTAAGAATAGTGGGACCAATTTCCGTTTAAATCACTTTTCGCCAATTAAACATAGTTAATATTATACTCTTTCTTTTTCTTTTTCTTTTTTTTTTTTTTTTTTTTTTTTTGCTCCTTTTAATCTACATATACAACAAGTTTTATTTACGTTTTCATTTTCCTAGTGTTCACCATATTCTACACAAATAGGACCCTCACCCCCTTTCTGATGTTACTGATCTACTGTTATTCTGACTGATTGATTATATGTTGTTTTTAAGTCCTGTTTGAGAATTTTTCACTCATGTAGAGACGTCACCACATATCGGTGAAGGGCTTCAGATTTAGACCTGTACTCGGCACTCAGGGTCATTGAGCTGTGAGGGATCTTTATCGTGCCAACGCCTGCCGTGACACGGTGCCTCGGTTCGAAAGACCTGCAACATTCACTTCAAAGTGCCGAGCGCTTGGCGCAGTAACAGTTGCTACCTGAAATGCCACACTTGCTTTTCATTTCATGTAATCACCGTTCACGGTAGCTCAGTCGATAGAGCGCTCCAGATTTTGTCTATTATATTTTTTATTCTTTGGTTTTCTATTGCATTCTTTTAAAAAAGATACTTAATATTTTATCAGATAATACATCGTGAAAAAAAAAAATTGGAGAATGAATCAGTTTAAAAAATCTTCAAGCTCATTCCGCGTCACATATAAAGTATTGTTGAATTTATATATATATATATATATATATATATATATATATATATATATATATATATTTTTACTTCATTCCTTATGTAAATAAACCAGACGACATCAGATATGCCAAGCAGTTGTAAAATGAACCATTACATGTACAATGTAGGGTATAAACTTTAGAAATGTACTATCTAATGTAACTTTTGATAACTTTCAAGACTTTGCAACATTTTAAGATCTAAAGCGACTGTTTCACCAATCCTTTTCTAAAAATATCTGGTCGCTAGGTGTCGCTTTTTGCACGCTAGTTTATAAATAAAGGGAGACCCCGATACTGTAGACTCACCGGTATCGTAGGAATGGAGTAATATGGAAAGTAATTAAAGGCGGAACGCTTGATTTCAACATCGCAATATGTTTGAAATTATTTGATTAATTTATGTTTTGCTTTCTCTTGTAGACTGGCAGTTTGTTTACGCTTGGAATCCTCCTGTTCTCCGTGCCCCATTATGGCTATGGTTTAACGGGTAACAAAACGTTTCACAACATCATCCAATACCATATTGGAGAAATTTTTATCGTTTCTGCATCATTATGCCTGCTTTACAATTGGTGAAAATGAACATAAAGACTTTGTAACGTCACCTGAGTCACAGATAAGGAAAACAAAAAGAATGTGAAAGATGAAACTGTCGTTTGTTCAAATTTGACATAATATTGTTTTTTATGATTTTTATAAACACTATTTGCTTCATGAATTAAGGTTAGAAATTGTCTCTTTCCCTTTAATTTTGGTAGATATGGTAGATTTTTTATTTTTATTTTTGATAAAAAAAAATGAAACTACATGAATGATGGTCATGAACAATTACATATAATGGTCGTCGTGCCAGCGTAATCGCGATTAAACAATGATTATGCACCCTGGAGTTTTTGTTTTTAAAGTTATCAAGAAAATCTAATCACTTTAACACATGAAGATTTTGAAAAACTAGCGAACATTTTTTGTAAATTTTAATAGATTTTTTTCGCAGATTTCTGACTTTTCTAAAATATTAAGGAGGCTGGGGGTCAACAAATTAACCATCAGAAATAACTTAGTTTTTTAGATAAGATATCGTAAGCTGTCGACAATCATTTGGCAAAGAAAAATTTCATACATTTTAGTTTTAAAATTTGATCATTTTTGTATATCTTTATATGGATCTCTTCTTCTAAAGGAGATCAATATAGTCTGAAAATGGCAACAACCACCCAGCCCTCTTAAGGATAAATTCTACTTTGTGAAACTGCGACGCTATAATGACAATCATATAAACCCAAATTTCTTGATTTTGATAATTTTAGATAAAAGAAGTACACGTGTAAATATTATTATATATCTGTCTTAAATGCTTTTGCAATTTGTAAGTTATGATATTCTTTCTAAAATGTTATGGATATGTTATTCGAATTTATATCTATATGCCCCTTCAATTATACCGGCATTTTAACTACTGTGCCAAGAGGGAGACTAATAGATGAATGTGACGCTGCTTACTAAACGTCAATAGTCAACTAAAAACTTAAGCTTATGACAACTGGATGACAGCAACTTTTACGTTGTCAGCTTTCCCAGCTTATGTACCTATACCCCGCAATCATTTGGTGTTTATGTCTCCCAATTTATTCGATATTCAAGAGCATATTTTGAGTACAATCATTTTGTTTTTAATAGACAGGCTACTGAAAAATAAGTTGTTACAGGGTTTTTTACTATCTCTTTTCAAGACAGCATTTTGCAAATTCTAAAGTCGTTATAAATGCCTTTTTCAGAAAATCTATTTTTGAGTCGTATTTTTACTGGCTTGTTTCTCACCAATCATTATGCAATTGTTCTTATACCATTCTGACTTAATCCGTCTACTTCATCTATAGAGAGGACTTACAGTGGTGTGACCGGTCGACAAGGGATGCTTTCTCCTCCTAGGTACCTGATCCTATCTTTAGTATTTCCAGAGGTCCGTAACTTTTGCCCTGTTCATGATTTGTATTCTTCAATGAATTTATGAAATCGATCATTGTTCGTTATTTTCACCTTTTACATAACATACTGACAAGCAATTTCATGGACTGAAAATTTCTTTTTCTTTCTATCCTTCTCTATTAAAATTCTAAAAAATATAAACTGGAGTAGCATTGCATAGATTATACTTCCCTTTCTTGGGAGGATTTCTATCGGATATACTTGGTGTCTTCTATCAATGAATTCAGATACTCTACTCCCCAATCATTTCAGAAATTCGCCAATCACATCAAATCAGTATTCCCGATGTATGCTTCATCTAAAATGAGAGTCTAGCAGCTATAAGATGCCAAATAAATCCTCAACAAAACATTGTTTAGATGGAACCAATAAAATACTCATTCATTTTCCCTATCAATATCCTATCCTGTATGCAGGACAAGTTGAACAGCCACCAAACAGGTTTTGTTTACATCAGAGGAGTAACTAAAGTGCATGACTCCATTAAATTCAGGATTTTAATAATGAAAAAATCAGATCAACTGAATTGGGACCATACTTGTGTTTGATCAATTTCCTTAAAGTTGGGAATACAATCAAAATATAAAAGCTTTGAAGATGGGAAATCTGTAGTGTATCATTTAGATGGGATATAATGAAGCCTCAAATCAATCTTATTAATATATGTAACCTGATAATAATACTTAATAACCCTGTTAAGTTAGTATCTTTTTACCTTGGTTCTTCAATCAATGCCATATTGTCAACGTAAGCATAAATCCTATGGTCTCTCAAACTGTCTTGGACTGTAAGAAGTGCCTTTTCTCGAGCTGATGCCTCTGCCAAATAAATAGATCTAGAATCATCAGAAGGCCAAAAATCATTCGTATCAACTACGTATACAAATACAAACCAAAGTTAAAATTTGAAAATTAGGTAAAACATCAAGGTCAAGGGGTAAAAAAATCATAGCATGCTCGGAAACATATTGTTACAGATAATGTACATGTCAAATATGAAAGTCCCATCTCTTCTCAATCAAAAGTTATAAGGAAATATAACATTTTTGAAAAGTAGGTTAAACTTCAAGGTCAATGTCACAGAGTCAAAATCATGATAATTATATTTAGAGAGGTCTTGTCACAGGTAATATACATGTATAATATGAATGCCCTATCTTTTCTCTTTCAAAATGATGAATTTAAAATAATGTTAAATTTTTTGAAAAGTAGGTCAAACTTCAAGGTCAAGGTCATGGGTTCAAAAATCATAGTATGTTTAGAAATGTACATGAGAAATATGAAAACCCTATCTCTTATTATTCAAAAGTTATGACCAAGGTTAAATTTATTGTGACAGACAGCTTGACAAACAGACAGACTGACAGACAAATGAGATTTAATGTCTCCTAGGTCCCTTTCGCGAAAACGGATGACAATAATGCCCTTGCTGTTCTTGAGAAGAAGATTTATGATGGAAAAAATCCCCTGCATTTTCTATGTAAATCTTTGGATCCCCATATGTGGCCCCATCGTTCCCCAGTGGGTCATAATTTGAACAAATTTGAATCTACACTAAGTCTATGTCAAGAAAGTGTCAATGTTTTGGACCCAGTCAGTGGTTCTTGATAAGACTTGTTTAAATGATACCACCAAATTTTCGCTAATTCTTGATTACCCCCCCCCCCCTTGAAAGAGGGTGTGACCCTTCATTTGAACAAACTTGAATCCTCTTTACCTGAAGATGTTTTGTGGCAGGGTTGATTGAAATTGGCCAAGTGGTTCTAGTGAAGAAGACAAAAATGTGAAAGTTTACAGGCGGACAGATGGATGACAGACAAAATGTGATCAGAAAAAAAGAAAAACTCAAGTGAACTAAAAACTTATGATCCCAAGTACTTGGAAAGAGTTACAGTGTTTGAAAAGCAGTTATTTTCATGCATTGTTTTCAGAAGCTGAAAATGTATGACTTGTATCCATGTTGAAAAAACTGCACATTTCAGAAAACAGTATGATTAAAAGTAGTTAATCAAGGTGCTTTGAGTAGCAAAATAAGCTAAACTGGTATAGCTAATTCAACCACAGAGCTTAGTCAATTTTAAGATGCACATCCTTTTCAACTCTTAATCATTCTTAAAATATTTATATCATTCATTCCTGATGCAAGGGAGAACTAGAGATATGACCAGAAGTATATCCGTTGACTAATAAACATGTACATGTATATTGTGTTTTTTAAGTCATTAATGTTTGTTTGTTGTTAAATGTCTCTCTCGGGAATTTTTCACTCATATGGAGACACCTGTCACCACTTAAAAATAATGAAGACGTACGAGTCAGATTTGAGGTTAACATTCATTTTAGGAGTTTTCAACAATTAAGATGTAAAGAGATAACTCCTTCCCCTCGCCCCTTCCCCTTCCCAGACCCCTGTTTGTTCATGTAACTAATACTTTGTTTTGACATAAAAAATGTGAATATATACAAATAGTTTAATGGTCCATCTCTTTGAATGATTTTCATTCCTAATTTTAGGAGGGTACATGGGTTGACCCAAATTCATGAATGAAATGTCAAGCAATCTTATCATTGATGCACTTTTATTTAATTTGATGTAGTCATATTGTGAACATTTCCAGTTCATTAAGAGAGTGGAGATGACCTCCAGGGGTTCCTAACCTTAAAACATTAGATGTACATAACCATGATAACATTATAACACAAGAAACAAAATTATGTATATATATAGTCAAATGGAAAAGTTTTCTACTATTTTGGAGTCACATGATCATTTGTCATTTCAGGGACAGGGTGCGGCTAGGGAGATTGCCCCCCCCCCCCCCCGGAATTTGCAGAGATATTCAAATAGGACTAACGTTATATATTGTTTTACAGAAGCAAATAAAAAATGACTTTGGACGCCCTCCCCCCTTTAAAAACAAGGACCCCACCATCATTGTGTTTATTTTGTTTGTTTGTTTGTTTTTTCCCCGAAAAAAATACCTGGATCTGTGCCTCTAACTGAATGTAATGTTGACAACGGGAGATAACTCTTCAGAATGTGAAATTCGTCTATTGTGGCATTCGATGATCTTTGATCCTTTTTAAAATTTAACATAACCATTTGCATTTCGGTTATTTTACCCCCAATCAATACTTAAACTTGTACTTACCGACTGTCATAGGTCCTGTCAACTTCATGGAATATAATCCAATTAAAACACAAAATGAATTAATTTCTACTGATATACATGTAATGATGTTTACACCACACTGCAAAATGTGCAATGAAAAAATGATAATGGTAAAACTAGTACTAGTGCTAGTAGGGTGACGCAAGCCTAATGTGATGTAGAAATTTTCAAAAAAGGTGTTCACATATAGGTACAGTACAAGAACAAATTTATCATAACAAACGATGTTTTAACGTAACTTTGCCATCTAGGCCAATTTCCAAAAACAGGCAATTTGTGTGTGTGTGTGTTGGGGGGGGGGGGAAACAAAATTGATTGGGTATGGCTTTTCAAGGAGGTTTTTGCCTAATCAAATACTAAAAATAAAGTTTGCACATTTTGATAAATTCATCAAAAAGCTTTTACTAAAATAATATTATTTGTTGTTGAGAAAATAAATTTAAAAAGTTCCAATTATGGGTCAAAAATTTATATCCCCCCTTTTATCAAAGCCTAATTTACATCATTAATTAAATTCTGTTATTTCAGATTAGCTGGTTATGAATTAAGTAAAGAAATACCAATAAGAGGCTCATAGGTCACATGGTCACCTGCATGAGCATTTTATGCTCGAACTGACGAATACATGTACATGTACTGTGTAAAGAACTACGCAGGCTAACTCTCAATCCCGCCTACATTTTTCACCCATTAAATTCAATACTAATGGCAATTTGACCGTGAAATCTTTGTTGAGTGTAAAGAAGAGTTCAATGGTAATTGACTGATACTTTTAATGCCAGAGTTAAATAGTTAATTACCCCTAATTCCAGCACTTAAAATAAGGGGGGGGGGGGGTAAGATGATATTTTCCATTGAAATCGAGCTTTAAAGCATCAACACATTTTGAAATATTCTTGGATATGAATAAATGTTCCTTAAATCTTTTCTTATGTTTACACATATAAAATGAAACATATATTATTAATAAAATACAATATTTTAGTTGTAAAACTCTTTGAAATTGGTGAAAAAAATAAGCATTTTTGTACTTTTTTGTCTAAACATATGTCCCCCCCCCCCCGTGAAACACAAAAAGCTTTGGTATAAATTTGTGAAATGACAGTCCATATTACCTGTAAAAAAGAATTTTTGTTTCACGGGGGGGGGGGGTGTTTTGAAAATATTTTCCGTTTTCCGTTGATTTCTATAGTGAAAAACACAAGTTTTACCCAAATTATAGAGTTATCTCTTTTTGTTTTCCCAAAGAAGTAATGTTTTATGAAAATTCATATAAATATTTAAATAAATATGAAAAATCATCCAAATATGTTAACTTTTGAAGATTGACCAGAAGGTAAGCGGGAGAACAATGCTATCGTTCGCAGTTCTTATAGAACTATTTTGACTTTTTCCTTGGTAAGCCCAATATGAAGTAGTGTGCATTTAGAGGCAAAAACCATAGTGCGGGTATTACTGTCTCATGACAGCATCTAGTTTAATATTTAATTCACACTCAAAAGTTCACATGGCCTCGGCTGATAAAGAAAACTGAGCGGACGATACATCTATTTCTTGGTAGCGTATGTGCATGTAAACTGCTTGTGCATATAATGACTAGAGTGTTCCAAGGAACACTTGCATCGCCTGCAAAACAACATTCCAGATTAAAATA